CATAAGGATCTCCAACAAATACTGGTAAGTTAAGTTTAGGGAGTGAAGTTATCATTACTGACTTTGAAAGGACAGACTGTAAGAAATCCACAGTTCTTTCTTTGCGAGGTAAATGCTTAGAAATGTCATTCTCTTTCTATTCATCCGCTTCCTCCTCCTTAGGGCTCACTGTTTTCAACCATTTCTTAACTCTCTGCTTCGAGTCCTTAATATTATTCATAGGAATATCTTCTTGCTTGAGCTGGGGCGTTGTATCGATCTTTACATTGTCCCCTCCCACTGAGTTATCCTCAAAATTTTTCATGCGATCAGACATATTATGTTCATCTAGCTCTTCTTTTAACAGAATTTCTTCCTACCTGCCTCGTATTCAGTTTCCTAAATTGCTAGTTCTGCTTCAAGCTTAGCTTTCCATGCTGCAATTTTAGCTTCCAATTGAGCTTTCTCTTTAAGCAGCTTTACTTTCAGCTTAGCTAGATCAGCTTCCCTAGCCGCTGCTCTTGCACCTTGTAGGGACACAGAAGAAGTCATTTTGCTGCTACTTTTCCTGCTCGTGCGACCAAAGATGGTGATTGAAGAGTTGTCGGTTTGTCCCGTACGAATTCTAGGTGTTTTGGGCTCGATTTGAGCTTCTGAGACCATTTCCCTAGTGTAAGTTTTGACTTCACCATACTCAACAGTTCTACAAATCAGTTCCTCTAAAAGTGCTTGGGACTCCAATAACCATATGTCTACTTCCTGCAGTTCCTCATCCTCACCACGCACGGCTTGAAATTTTCCACGATTCTCGATCAACTGATGCCATGCTCGATTTAGATGAATACATGCAAGCTCAATTAACTTACGGTCTTTCCGTTCATTCAGGTACTCTCCTATGATATTCATCTTCGAATTTGTTCACATCGATTTTCTTCTATTCTTGATTGTCTGGAGCTTGTTTTGAACGGGAACTTCGGCGTAATCGCTCAAATACCGTGGAAGGTTCCTTTTGCGTGGCACAATTTCACTTCGCTTGTCCACATCTGGCATTTCCACATGCGATTTCACTGATTTCTTCGCCATGCTTTGTATAATCTAAACGTATAATCCAAACACCGATCTGATTCTCCTGTATCCAGCGCTCGAAGGACTATTATGGATGATTCCCTGGTATGAGAAATTCTATTAGAGTCCTGGTTTAAATATCAACACACTTCAGCCATTTTCCATGTGCTCACAAAACTCTTCATTCGACTCGTTCCAGTTCTTCACACGGGGGTAGTGCCTGACGCTTACAAAAAACAAACAAGTTCAGGTTAATCGCGTGTCCAAGGATAACTTGGAAAAACAGCCCAACTTCTATTATTACTATTAATACCTAACACGCACCCATAACTTGGTTGATAACGAACATTGGCTGACATACTGTCACCTCATACTCTCATCTTGAACTGACATGTGTTCACAGCGGGGATACGAGATTTCCGGAGCTCAAGTCAAAGTGAATCATTCTTCTTAACTATTATCGCTTTTATTGTTATTGTGAGTTTTTGGTATCATTGTACCAAGATGTATCCCACAGCGTTTATGAATTTGTCTCCGTTATGTGCACCCCACCTAGCCACATTGCTACAATGCACCAGGGTATCCATCTGTGCCAAATACGATCCTTGGGTCGCAGCTGATGTAGCCGTTCTGGTCGTCGCTGACAATGACAATTCGAGTTCAGGAGGCCTCGCTTGCAAAATTAGCATTGAACCCTTCCTAGTTACAATGGCGCTTCAGAGAGGCTTTTGTACCGATCAGCATTTTCGACAAGGCACGACCTCTGATGTGTCGCGGTATTGCCCGTCAGTGATCAGTGAGAACAGAGAGTTTGCTTGCTAATTGATGACAATGAACCTGAGCTGTCGGAGACAATATTTGTCTCATTCTTCGTAGTTCGAAGAGTGATTTGAGTATTTTTTTGGATTTTTTCTCCAAAATCTTCACAACACGATACCTTAACTGTTTACACGGTCTTCTGGCTTCCGTCATAGATGGCTACAATCCTTGTTTATGAAACAGGACTTGAAAAGCCCATTATTAAAAACTGAATCATTGAATAATGCTTTTCAAGATTTTTGATTGGCTTAGCCATCATCGGTTATGAATAAGGATTATACCATGTTCGAAAATATGGTAAGTGTCCGGGTTAGCTCAAAATTCAAACAGTCAAAACTGGAAAGATTTATCTGTATTTTGGGGTGTGTTTAATAAAACAATTATTCCACTCGCGCAATTATTTATTTTCAATTTTGTTTCAAAGTTGCGGCATCTATTGTAGAATAAGATTTGCTTTCAAAGGGGTGTATAAAAAACAAGGAGGAGCGTTCACTCGGGCTTCGTTAATAGCCATAGCATTCACATCAAACAAGAGTACAATTATAACATACATAATTTGCATGATGAGATCTGAATTGTTGTACTTTTACTGACACTGTAACATCATTATGTTCATGTATATTAGTCATATTGACAATTTTTATAGTAGATCACAGTGTTTATCATGTCTTCTACTAAGCACATACAACTCCCTGCGAATAGCGATTCAACATTCACGATCGCTTGTACACTAATAATAGTGATTATGTACGAAATAACAAATCGTACTTCACTAGTACTGAACCCAATATAAACTAATAACAAAAACAAGATATTTGACGGAAGGGCTAAGCATATATATTTAACCTTACTATTCAAGTTGCTTCAGTCAGTATTTATTTTTATTTATTTATTTATCAACCATATTTTCAGCAGAGATGCCCAGTTCAGCATATGCTAGCTTAAATGGGGCACTGCAAACCCACCCATCTTACCACAGGGGAGGACATCCATCACACAGTAATCTCGTGTGTGGGAAATTAACGTCTCCTACCCCTAACCCTGCAGGAGACGGGACCTCCATTTATTCTTCCCTATCCAAGAAGACTAGAATATCCAAACATTTTCTTGATGTTCTTGAAAGGTAGCATATTATTCTCAATTATTTTTTTAGACCTTGAGTGTTGGTCCGGTCGGGGTTCGAACCCTCGAACTCCCGCACAACAGTCCAGCGCTCTATCCATTTCGTTGTTTTTAGCGCCACTTTCGAAGTTGTGTTCACGAACATTCTCTATTTTTATCCGCAAGTAAGGTGTTCGTCTCAGCATCATAGTTCGTTGTTAAATCGGCCGTCACAGTTTTGCCAGTAATTTCGTAGTTTGAACTCACACATGGCTCATTTGTTATCGCATGAGAACTAGTATGAATTTGCAGATTTGGCTAGCTTTCAAGCTATGAAGTTCGTTGGACCACCCCATTCCGAAAACACTCGACATCATTTAGCCTGGGTCTATCAAGAACGGCGTGTGCGTTTGCATGAGGGATGAGCGTATAAGACAGGAATCTTTGTAAAGTGGTCTTCACAAAACACAGCATTCTGTAAATTATGTTG